GTGGTGCTGGGGGATTGAACCGCGGTCCCCGATGCTTTGCTAAGCTTGTTCTAAGTAGGTGCTTTAGACCACTGAGCCATCTCTCCAGCCCCCCACCTTTGTTTTAAGAGCAACAAAATCTTTTCTTCAAAAGTCTATTTGAGCATCTTATACTATGAATAACTACTATGAAGACAACAATATGCAATGTATTAATTATTGTAACTGTCCTACTAACCTGCTTTGAAACTGTCTCATTGTTATTTCTGTCTCAATAAAATTAATTTTTAAAAAAAGTCTATTGAGGTCAGACATGGTGGCTCATGCCTGTAGTTCCAACACACAGGATGAGGCAGGAGGATCACTGTGAGTTGAATGCTAGCCTGGACTACAAAGTGAGTTTAAGACCAGCCTGGACTGCACAGAGAAATCCTGTCTCAAAAAATAAAAAAAAAGGTTGACACCCCAATATATAAAACAAGTAAAGACGGAAAGATGAGCTACCTCTTCTGAAAAGGAAGTTACTGAAAAACACTATTGTTCAACCTCCATTTTAAAGTAAACAATGACTTAAAGGCCACAGGAAGACAGAAATACAATAATTTATTCAAAAAACATCTATTACGTATGATCTCCTCTTTGAAGACTTTCTTGGTGGAATTTGTCATTTCATATTTTACTCACCAATTTACACAGCACATACTTCTACTGTGCCTTCTATAGAACTTTAGTGTTCTAATTTTATTTTTATGTGTCTGTGGCCCTCTAAAACACCATAAATTCATTAAAAGAAAGGAAGGTCTTTTTTTTTTTTTTTTTTTTTTTTTTTTTTTTTTTTTTTTTTGTCTTTTTGAAATAAGCAATTCAGTCTGGCCTTCAACTTACTTTGTAGTCCATGCTAGCCCACAGCTTTCAGCAATCCTCCAGCCTCAGCCCCTTCCAAATGCTGGGATTATAGGCTTCTGCCACCACACCTCACTGGGAAAGGACTGTCATAATAATTTCTGTATATCATACAGAATAAAGCATTATTTATTGATTGTACTATAGTTGACCAAGTTTCAGAAAAAATTTAAGCTAGCTCAACACCTGTCACACAGTAGGAGTTAATAAGTATCTGCCAAATCAACTTACAGAAAGTAAGATCATTAAATATACCCAAAGCAGTGAGAACAGTATCTGACACAGTGTATCGCAGTTAAAACAGTATCAGACATAGTGTAGAGTCTGTAAACATTAGCTACTATGTAACTTTATATAAGCAGGAAAAAAAAAACAAAACCAGAAGCCATTATTAAAAATTTAATCTGGAAGGTAAAAAATAAGCAACTTTTACCAAGTTTTCAACTTGTGCACTTACGAATTACTAATACAGCCACATCTTTGGTAAGGAAAACAGAAAACCTGGCCAACATATAAAGCTATCTTGACACTGGCAGCCTGGGGGGATAAAATAATAATGATGATAATAATAACACAAAGAATTGTGTACTGAAAGGAAAAATTGGGCTGGTTTTAGACTTGGAGCAGAGGCACATCTTTCTAGACCTTGGTTTGTCATCTGTGAAGTGGGAATGGTGCGGCAACGGAAAAGATTTATCTCCAAGATTCTTTCCGACACTTAAGTTTGTAAAAAAAAAAAAAAAGAAACTCTAGGTTACAATTCAAAGTGAGTAAGAACTTTCTAAAATTCAGCAAATGGTGTACTGGATTGGGCCTTACATGTTCAAAACTTTCATACTAGCTCTACTATTATTTAGCTGTGTAGCAAGAAAAAAACTCTTTAGGTCTCAATTTCCTCAATTGTAAAACAAAGTTGGGACAATATGAACTCTATTTAAAATACAGTCAGGCATGTGGTGATGCACGGTCATTCCAGTACTACTAGGGACGCTGTGGCAGAAGAACCAGTGCAAAAGTTGGAGATCAACCTGGACTACATAGCGAGTTCAAGACTATCCAGAACTACATATTGAAACCCTGTCACAAAAAAATAAAATAGCCAGGAGTGGTGGCACAGGCTATTTTAATCCAGCGCTCGGGAGGCTGAGGCAAGAGGATCACTGCAAATCCAAGGCCAGCCTCGGCTACAAAGTGAGCTCAAGGCCAGCCTGAACTGCATAGCAAGACTGCCTCCAAAAGAAGGCAATAAACAAACAGATAAATCATAGTCACAATATTCCATGAAATAAACTGGCTCACAAGGAAATACTCAAGTGAGGGATGAGTAACCATTTCTTAGAAATGATTAAAAGATTACTGCATAAAGCAAAAGTTAAAACTTTCAGGATTAGAAGAAACCAGACACGCCTGCCACTCACAAAAATAAAACCCAAGTCCTAACGTACTTTTGGCAAAGGTCATTCAGCAATACTAGTATGAATAGCTATCCACTTCAACAAGTCCCTTCATTTTAGGTCAACTATGATGCAGTTATTTCACTAAATAGTTTTACTATATTTCACTTAAGGACCCCTAAAATGTTTTGTGATAGTATTACCTTAAAATATTTTCTCTTCCAAAATTAAGACCCGACCCCCACCCCTGGCTGTCAACCTTTCCTCATAACATACTATCCAAACGCCAGCCTGCCTTCCTCACAGAAACCTCCACTCTTGCTTTAGCAAACGTCAAAATTACTTAAATAGCTCTTCTCATTCTGCTGTCTTCCTGATCCCTTGTGGGACCCGACTTCCCACACACAGACCCGATTTACCATCACATAGAGCCCAATGGCCTTGGCAACGCCACCACCACCCAAGAAAGCATTTGAGGGAAGAAGTAGGCTCTGTTGCTCCTTTGGGAGATTCGGAGACAAGAGGTGATGGCCGCACTAACAACAGGCCCTACCCTGTTCTTCCTCGCCCGCCCGGCCGGATCCAGCCAACTCCCTCACCGGTATTGCTTGGGGTCGCTGGGCGACTTGACGATCTCTGGGTCTCCGGTGTTACTAAGAGACCTGCTCCGTCCCTCCTCCTCAGATTCATCCGCTCCCAGACGTGCAACGCGGCCACTCTCGCCCAAATCCTGTCCATTGGGCGGCAGGTCAGGGCAGCTGCAGGTGGACTTTGCCTTGTTCCTTCCAGGCATGGCCAGAGTTTTGGGAAAGAGTCTGGTAGAGTCTTCGCACAGACCCCGCACTTCAATTCTCCACAGCGCCGCGAGCTCCCGCCCGGCAGCACACCACAACTTCCTCCCGGTGGCACAGACCGCAGCAACCGTGGCTCTGCCCAGCATTCACCACCTAGCTGTAGCGATGGGCATTCCGCTCCCCGGGGCCCAACCCCTACTCCTACTCCTCCAGCCGCTCCTCCTCCTCCGCGTTCCAGAGGCGGCGGGGTCAGCGGTGGCGGCAGGCGGCCGGCGTTGGTGAGGCCGTAGCCGCTGAGTAGTACAGGCCTGAACCCCTTTCCAGTCAGGTCTCGCTCACGTTAACTTCCCCTTCCCCCGCCCCTCGGCCGCTGATGACGCTCTGATTTCAGCCAATCATGAGGCAAGAACTAAATCATGCTCAAGGAAACAACCAATAGGAACAGGGAAGGGGAGGAACCAAAGGGACTAGACTGGATTCTTGGAGCACCCAGAGACCATTTCGAAACCTGAAGTGGGTGTGGAGAGGGAGAAGAGGCGGAGACTGGCGCGGAGGATGACGGGATCGGGCGCCTGCAGCGCTTTTATGACGTACAAGAGTATTAGTTTGAGATATATAGCAAGTAGCGCTCCGCAAAAGGTGTTTTCTTGGAGAACCAAGTGGAGAAATAGCGTTCTAAAATCGTTCCCGCTCTCATCATAGTATGTCTTTTGTGACTCAGCTTGTAAAACATCTGAATAGGATGGACGCGGCTATCAAGCACTAAGCACCAGAAAGAGCCATGGCGTTCTTCCATTCTATCATCTGCCCTACGCTAATTCTTTTTTACGTCATAGACCAAATAAATTACTTAAAAGACTAGTCTTGATGTGGTCACTCCTATAGGAGAAAACTTGTTAGCTCCCTCACAGAGTAGAGTTCACAGCATACCTAGACGTTAAGCCGATTTTTACCGAGCAGCCATAATTTGTTCGACAGCTGCCCTCAAGTCTTTCCTAGCGTTCTTGCAGTGACAGTTGGACATCCAAAATATGACCAAAACGTAGGTATAAATGAAACCTGAAAAGTAGCTGACAATAAAATATAATGTACTAATATCATGAGATTCAGATATCCTAGCACATAAAAGGAATAGAATAGAGTATACTTGAGGGAATAGAGAAAACGAATCAAGAACATGTATGGATGGTTATTACATCTTTAACTTTTCTCCCCAATAATGACAATAGAACCCAGGACACTTTCACAGAGCTACATTATGAATCTTTTTTTTTTTTTTTTTTTTTTTTTTTTTTTTCCCTGAGACAGTGTTTCACTAAGTTACTTAGGGTGCCCTGTAACTTGAATCCTCCCTTTTCTCAGCCACCAAAGTATCTGGGATTACATAAATCACTGCACCAGCTAAATGTTTCTGAGCTTCTGAGCTCTAGGTACAGGGCATAATGCCATAACAAAACATAAGCCTCTGGCTTCCAGGAGCTTGCATTATAATGGAAAGAAACACAACAAAAGACATATTTTAAAAATAAGTGCCATGAAAACAATAGAATATAGGAGGATAAAGAATTGTGGAGTTAAAAATAAAGAGTAGAAAAATTCAAGCAGAAAATGAAACCTGAACCGGATCAGTTATAAGGAATACTGGAAAGTAATGTTCAAATACTCCGTTTACATGCATCTTTTCAAGAACCTATCAGTTTTTTTAAAAATCCTACTAGTCTTCCCTTCTTACAGTTTTTCCTGTATAGCTCCTGTCTCTAACATAGCTTCCCAACACATAATAAAGCAATTTATGAATGTTAACAATGACTGAAAGAGAATTCATAATCTCAGTTGTTTCCAACTAGATTGCTATGGCTGGTGTGTGAAAAATGAGTTAGATGGTAGAGGGCAAGTTAGATGGTAAAAGGGCCCAGGGAGATAGCTCAGTAGAATAAGTGCTTGCCTGGCAAGTGCAGGGTCCTGAGTTCAATCCCTGGTACTGAAGGAAGAAAAAAAAAAGACAAAAGTAAAGAAAAAGCAGAGCCAGATGCAGTCACATCATGCCTGTAGTTCTAACCACTGGGTCAAGTTAGGAGGATCAGCTAAAACACAGCAGTTTGGGGCTTGCCAGGGAAACATAGTGAGCTCAAAGAAATAAAAGTAGTTGGGAAGCTACTGAAATAATGTAAGCAATAAAATTAACTTGGATTTGAGGAGTGATACTGAAAATGGAAAGATGTAGATAGATACCTCGTGTACTTAGGAGATGGAATTCACTGGGTTGGGGCAGTGATTGATTTAATATGGGATAATGAAGGAGAGGTAAACTCCATAGTGTCAGGTTTTGTGGTTGAATAGGTGGTAGTAACATTAGCTTGGTAACCAGAAAATTCTGAAAAAGAAGTTTTAGGAAAAAAGTATTATCTCAGTTTTGAATATCTAGGAGTCATTATGAGCCATAAAAAATGAGGATCAGATCCAGAGCTTTAAAAAAAAAACTAAATCCCAGACAGAATTTTGAGGTTAATCTCTTCCCAGTTGGTAAACAAAGCCTATCAAATGAGATCATCTGTATGGAGATTGTGAGGTAATAAGTAAAAAGGGTCTACAGATCAAGTCTTAAAGAGCTTGTAGAAGAGGAAAAACTCACAAAAGAAACCAAGGAAGAACTACCAGATAGCAAAAGGAAAACCAGAAGGATGTAGTATCACAGAAGACTATCTCTTTGATGCAGAGCCCAGCATAATTCTGAGCTTATAGCTAATGTCAAAATGTTAGATTAAGATATATAAAAATTGGCAAAGGATTGCAGTAGTACTTTAATTTCATTTCTGCAGATATAAGGAGAAATATCACCCAGAAGTTAAACCCATAAGTGATCTATGGCATAGTCAGGAGTTTCAAACCAGAATTACTCTTTCCCATTGAAAATAATCTAATAATTTGCCACACCTCATTTGACTATTCCTAGTTACTGTAAAGAGTATTCCTTCGAAGAAACAGGTAAGTTAAGGTACTAACATTTTATAGGAATTGAGGCAATAGAAAGTTAAAATGATCTCAGTATCTTCAAAAAAGTTAGAGCACAGATTATAATTGTAAACGCTATTTACCTAGACTTTCTCAGACTATTTAAATGCATTTTTTCTCTATCTTCAGCCACCCTGTACTGCTACATAGTTTTATCTCAAAGATTCCCTCTCATCGTGTTGAAGAAATCAAGAATCTGGAGAGACTATGGGAGAAATAGGAAGATTTATTTGGTTTTAGGTGAACACCAACTCGGCAGACTCATGTCCAAAAGAGTTGAGCCCTGAACAGAGGAGGAGCTTTAGTCTTATACATGTAGAAGGGGTTGGTCTCTTTAATGATTCAAAATTTGTGGGAAGGCACAGAAGTTTGCAGAAGAAAAACAGAGGTAGTTTATCAAGTTGTGATAGATTTGCAACTTAGCATATCTTGGTGGTCCTGCTCAGGCATAACAGGATGTTATGAGCACAGGAGATTATAAAGCTCTTTTGCAGGGGCAAAAGTTACAATTTTATCTGTATTAGGACAAAGAGGGCTGGGGATATAGCTCAGCAACATATGTGCCTGCCAGGCAAGCGCAAGTTCCTGAGTTTGATCCCCAGAAGAATAAAGAAAAGCAGCTGGGAAAAGGCTCTTAGGTTGGGGAAATTTATTTTTTCTTTTTAAGTCTTGCTTCAGTTGGATTCAATTATTCTTCTCTCAGGGTGCCTGCCCCGTAGCTCAGTTCTTTAAGTGGCTGCTTCAGCAAAGCAGTCAGGCTCAGGTTGCTGTGGTTCAATCCCCATAACTCAAGCCAGCCAAACCTGCCCTGAAGGCATTCGGAGCAAAAAAAAAAAATCCTTATTCAATTATTCTTCTCTCCCTATTATTCTTGTGAGATGTCACAAATCATGAACATTTAAAATATCCCATTTCTATATTGGTTTGTTTGTTTGAGACAGGGTCTCACTATGTAATGCAGACTGGCTTACTTTCTTATTTAGCCAAAGATGGCCTCAAACTCATGACCAATCTTCCTGCCTCAGCCTCCCAAGTGCAGTGATTATGGGCATGTCATATTTGTATGTTTTATATCTATTTCTGACCTTCCCTACTCCTAACTTTCGCCCTAACTGTAACCCTGACCCAATGTGATGCTATTTACCTACCAAAAGGGCAAATCTGAGCCTTATACTCAGAATTTCAATGGTACATTATTCATAACTCCACTACCCACCTTTATATCTGAGGGTCAGAGTAAATCAGAAACGTAGAGTGTTGTTTCTACCTTGAGTACTAGGGGAGTTCTATGAGCTATTAAAGTTGCAAACTTAAAATTATCTCCCTTACTCTAAGGTCCAAAATTTCTCCATTAGTGACTCATTGTCCTCTTTATAATGACTCTTAAATGTTAATAACAACCTTCAAAGAGATGAAAAAACTAATACCATTTTGTGAATGGATTTTTTTAGCACACTCTTGGCAATTTAAGATCATCATAAACCTTGATGAGTGGGAATAGTGCTAAATATGAGAGAAAAGACTCAGAAAGAGGAGGTAGGTAATAAGAAAAATATTGTCTTCAAAAATGCTGTTGAGAGCCCACGCTCTGCGAAATTATACCTCTGCAGCTCTAGTCATTAAGTGTACCACCGGATAATTACCATCCACATTTGCAAGCTTTGTATCTAGGTCAAGAAATAGGCATCTTCTTATGGAAGCTTGTCTTTGGATACTAAATGTATGTGCTGTATACCAAGGAGTTTGAGGGATAGTTTTTGCCTATAAGTGTAGCTGTCAGAAGAATTTGGTATGAAAACTTTAAAATAAGACTGACTCTAAAACATACTTTATACCAAAGGAAAGATGTTGTCTACCCAATCAGTTAAGTGCTTCTCATCTCCTGTCTACATTTGAGACTGCCTAGAAAAGAGAATGTATGACCTAAAATGATATTTATAATTTATAAAACATACTACTTCCCCTTTAAAAACCCATTAATGAGGGCCGGCCCAGTAGCTCAGCGGATTAAAGCGCTTACTTAGGCAGATGCAGCAGCCAGAGATCTATCCGCAGCCTGCCCTTCCTCACCCCCCCCCCGCGCTCCCCGACACACTGAGAAGGCTACTGAGACTGGGCATGGTGGCACGCATCTGTAATCCCAGCACTTGGGAGGCTGAAAACAGGAGAATCATTACGAGTCCGATCTATGTAGTGAGACCCTGTAGACCCCTTACTAAAAAAGTACAAAAAAAAACAAAAAACAGTGGTTCTGCTTTGTACTTTGAAATGTAGCTGAAATGGAGCTTACATCAGATTTCTGTTTTTCCTCTATATCTGTAATGTCATCTAACATTCTGGCCTTTGTTCCAGCCACATCAGCTTTAAAAA